CCGCTGCCACGATTTTACGCCCAAAGAGCTTGGTGCAGCAATCTTTTTGCACTCCCCATAGCTGGATGCGAAAGGGAGCTATCGACATTTCCTCAAAAATCGGCCGAGGGATCGAGGGAACCCAGGTACGGAGGGTGAGGACTCTATCTTTAATAATCCATGGGGATCGCTTCAGCGCCCAGCTTTTTGCCTCGACATTAGGAAGCATGATTTCGAATAGTCCATGCTTTGTCATGGATACTTTGACCCGTTGCTTGATCTGCCAGGCATCAACCAGGGCCTCTCTCAATTCCAGCGTCGAAATTTGGTCAGCCGTGAATAAACGTCCCAGAAGGGTTCGAGAAGCACGGAACCTGGTGGATTGGACCTCATCTAGGGAAAACTGGATCCTGATCCTCAGCCATGTGGACCATTCCTCGAGCCTGACACGGAAAAGCAGAGGTTAATCGGTTATCATCAAGAAGAATATCCTTGGATAAGCCCTGCGAAAGGGATGGATTTAAAAGAAAAGCTGGGGCTCTATAATAAGACTTATCAAATAGGCTCTCTTTGGCAGGTAAAGTATTCGAAACAGCGGCCTTAGAGGATGAGCACTCAACGTCCTCCATACCTGATTTTGGGCCGGTCGTACTCTGCGTAGAGAGAGCTGCTGCGAATGAAGGAATCCACACTCGATGTTTCGTCCGGTACTGGTGGTACAACAGACGCAGCAGAGGAGTATATATAAGGAGAAACGCAGTCAAGGCTGCCTCTCTTGAGTTTATCCCATTAAGCCATTGACCGTTGGCTATTGGAGTTGTAGTGGGAGTAGGAGAATTACTCTCCTTCCACCGGTAACCGATAATAATATTCGGAGAGAGGATATTTCGCCAACCCTTTCCCCCAAGCCACGGAAGATCCGTGCAGAATCGAGTCACAACAGAATTCGAATCTGTCCCCCGATGTTGTCGCGATTTTTGAAATTTTTTTTTTCAGTGACCAGCGACCGCCGACGACGACAAGACATCCCCTTTGAGGAGTCGTCGCGGTCGTCGCCTGCCTGCTCAATGCCGGTCTTTGCTTATCTGCTACCCAGGTTAACACATAGGGATGGCAATGGGTCGGGTTGGGGCGGGTTTTGTCAAACCCAAACCCAAACCCATGGGTTTATCCTCCAAAGAAACCCGGGGTAAAACCCGCTGGGTTTGAAAAACTCAAACCCAACCCAACCCGCTGGGTATCCGCGGGTTCATGGGTACCCGTGGGTTTTTGCGGTAAAAAATTTACAATAACAAGTTTCTTTCAAAATAAAAGTTTAACATCAAATTTCTCATACAAATTAATCATACAAAAAACACCAATCTAGAGCATACAAGCAAACCGCAAATGATCAATACAAATTGTTCAAAATTAAAGATAAACATCTATAAACAATAAGATTAATTGAAAGCTTCTTCCTCGTCAACTAAGTTTCTTCACTCTCCACTTCATAAAATCAACTTCATTCTAAACAATTACAAAGAACAAATTATACGTGTCTCCACAAAACATAAAGAATATTAGTTATTTAAGAAAGATATATTATTTAGAATATTAAATATACCGGGAAAGTAATTATATGTGTGGGCGGGTACCCATGGGGCGGGTTTACCTAAACCCAAACCCAACCCAACCCGGTGAATAGTGTAGCGGGTTTAAACCCGAACCCGGCCCAAAACCCGTCAACACGGATTTTACCCGCGTTGACCGGATTGAGTCGGGTGGGTACCCGTGGGTTCGGGTTTTGTTGCCATCCCTATTAACACATACGTGTTTATGATGGATCCTGGGCATTCATGTTCTGACGTCGTGGTGTGTACTTGACTATTACCACCACCAGGATGGGTAACCGGCATTTCTTCCTCACCCAGAACCGCTTCCGGTGGGGGACAGAAACGCCATCCCTTTTTTTGATCAGAAAAGTTATCATGGGTTATATTTTCCCCATCATTAGCTTGGGGTACCGGCGGGTCCTCATCTCCCAGAATCGTTGCAGGTGGGAGCCAGAACCGCCATCCCTTTAACGGCAGCAATCTACCTCTTTTATGGGGGCCGAGATGGAGGGTCTCATCAAACTTCCATACAACACCGCGTCTCCTTTTCCGGCAGCTTCTTTCCGATTCGCGACTTGGTAAGTTCCGAGTCCAGTTCGATTCTTGGCCCTGTGGCTTGCTCAGGTGTTCAGCGCAATTGTTTGTGTGTTCTTCGCCCTATGGCTTGCTCGGGTGTTCGGCGCGATTGCTTGTGTGCACTCCAGGATTGGTAGTTGATCTGCTCCAGCCGGAGTGTTGATTCCGCAGACTCGCCGGTAACCAAGAAGAGACCATCCTTGTTAGCCATTCTCCCAGCCAGAATGAGAAACCGAGGAGAGAGGAGAGCTCCTCTCACCATATCTTTTTTTTTTCTTATCAGGTTACAGCTTCAACAAAAAAATTTCCAATCTTATTTCAATTTCATACAAATTAGAGGTTTCCAATAACAGCTTAACACAACAACAAAGTAGCAGTCACACACACAAGAGGAAAGAAACTGATGATCCCAAATTGATCAAATTCCCCTATCGAAATGGCGCCAGAGGATTTGGGCTATAAGCCATCTTGGAGCTTCTTAGTTCTTTACAGACATGGTCGAGCATCCCCAAGAAATCCCTCACAATTACGAAAATCCTTAATGGGTTTGCTTCGTCTTTGCTCACATGGTTCCCATGAAAGTACTCTGTAATCTCTCTAACCAGCGCAATGACTCTATCTTCTTCCTCCTTCACTTCTTTCAGATTGCTTCCTGCATATTTCAAGAACGCACTCATCGATTCCACGAATCCCCGGCTTCTCTCGTCGCGGGAGAGCTCATTCTCCACCAGATTGTTCAGCTTCGAGATCCCATTCGACAGATTCGACACGGAGGTCGCCAGAACGTCGAGGTCGATGGTGGCTGTCTTCTTGACGTTGTAGAGCTCCGTGGTGAGCCCGGTGACGAGGTCCAATCCCATCCGACGGTAATTCTCCTCCCTTTCCTCGACGGTTCTGGTCTTGGTTTTCTGGTTGATTTTGCCCATTATACTTTCCGAGACTCGCATGCCTTCTGTTCGAATAATTTCCTGAACGACAAAATGAAGCAGTGTGGTTTTCCCGTCCGTGCCTTTAACGTCAGAGAGTTTGAGGAGGGCATCGAGTTTGAATGCCCTCGCCCCGCCTCGAATTGTTCCCACGTTCATTCGGTTGCCGGTCTTGAGCACTGCTTCGAGTAGTTTTAGGAACAGTCTGCTTGATCGTAGTTCTTTGCATGCTTCCTGATAGATGAATTGTCTAACTTAGAATCATATGATGAGGGTACTATTAGTATCGCGAAATGGGATTCATTGAAATTGTTTACCTCAAGCATTGAGAATGAGTTTCTCAGATGAAATACTTCATCTTCGAAGGTTTCTCTGAAAAGCATTGCTTCAACCCTATGGAAGGCTAACGGTACAGTGAGCAATGTCTTGACATATCTTTCAGCCGAACCCAATTCATTGAGGTTCCCTTTAAACCCGCGTAGCTTCAACTGTTCTTCGTTGGTTGGCACCATTTTCGCCAGTGCCTCCAGTTGCTGCAAGCCAAGGCCATCCCCTGCATATCACATATAGAGAAATTATTAGGGTGCTGATAATGATATTGTTCGATCCTGGATGTGAAGCATTGTTAAGAGCTCTATACTACCTCTCATTAGTGAATCGCAAACTTGGTCAGCGGTGGAACTCAGGGCTTTTGATAGAATGGTTATGTTCTGGAGTCTCTTGGGGTCCAAGACATGCTTGCTTGGGGAAGGGGTTTTGCTGTTTGCTTCTTCTGTCTTCTTAACCGTGCTTCTTAAGTTGTACCCAAAAAGCGACTCGATCATCTCTTCATCCAACCTGTTTTTCAAAAAAGGTCCATCCATGGATCGTTACACTTAATCTCTCGAGTTGTCTATGCTGGAAGAAAGAAGATTGTGAGAGAGACAACTCACTCGAATGAGCTTGATCTAATCTTGTCCCACACCATACTTTGCTCTGGTGGTGCTCTGACTTTATCCCAATGAAGGGGCTTCAGTTTCGCCAATGGTACTCCATCTTTCCCCAAGGGTGGTGTCAACTGAGGAAGCTGTGATGGTGGAGGAGGTGGACCTTTTGCTGAGCTGCTATTGCCCTTCAGAAATGGTGGAGGAGGACAAGGCGGCGGAGGAATCCCAGATTGAGATTTCTGAGGTGGCCTTGACTTTCTTGGAGATGAAAGATTAGGGAATGTGGATGTGATCTTAGACCGCCACGACCACTCGCATGGAGGAGATAGCCGTGGCAATGGTGGAGGTGGTGGAGGAGGCGGTGGTGCCGTGGCGGTACGTGGAACTTCCACACTTTCCATTGGAAGATTAGGCTCTAGAGTTGAGCCATTACTCAAGCTATGCACTGGTTTTAATTCTGGGATATCCAAAACCATTGGAATTGGAGAAATTCCAGATGGATCACCAACACTACCAGCGGAAGAAGCATTGGAAAGCCTGATATTTGATGAATGCGAGTCAACGAATGAATGGAAAGATTCATCGTCCGATGAATGGCACTCAATTGGAATGATTTTATCCTCGCGACAAGAAGAAACAGATTTCCCTCCATCGGACTCATACTCCACACATTCCTCTGCATCTCCATGGACAGAAGCAATTTCTCTGGTGGAAGAGCTACTGGCACTGCTGCTACTACTATTAGTTTGTTTCAGTGCCTCAGTAGTCTGTGAAGTTTCTTGCTCAGAGTGTTTGCCTAATGAATTCGGGTGCAAGAAATCAAGGCCGGGGTTTAAGCTCACCTTGTTACCTGAAGAAGCTAAGTACTTGGATTTTTTACCTCTGCTGCTTCTCCTCCATTTTTTACTGCCCACCGACAAGGTTTTTCCTCGAGATTGCCTTTGGTGGTTCCTGAACCAGATGAGCAGAAGCATTGATACCACCAATGCAGCTCCTGAAGACAAAACGATTGCCACTAGAATCTTCACTCTGAATTTTCTGTTGTTGTTGTTTTTCTGTTGGATGTGTGGTAGAGGAATGGGTCTTGGGTGAAAGGATGGAGGATGAGAATGCAGGTGAATTGGTGACAGCTTTGGAGATGGAGCTGGAGCTGGACCCCCATTTGCTGAACTTGGAGATGGAGATGGAGCTCCATTTTCCGGGAATGGAGATGGAGAAGGTGAGAAACGCTCATTCCATGGCATTCTGTGTTTGATGCTGTGCAAACCAAGTAAAGCTCTGAACTTTTGCAGTATAGCAGTAGCATGCTCTGCTTCTCTCTCTTCTCCCCCCGAGACTTTCTCAGAAGAAAAGGCAGCAGCTGCTGGAGAAATGTGGGCGTTCTGGAATGATGAGAGGATAAAAATGATTGTGAAGACAATCATGGGGAGAATATGGGTGAAAGAAGAAGAACCCATGATTTCTCTTCTTCTTCAAAGCCAGAGATCATCAAAGCATCAATATACTCCAAAAGGGCGGTAAGAAGGTGAAATGAAAGATCTTTTCCAGGTAAAGGGTAAACAAATAGTTATTGCTGGTTTTTCTGTATGTCTGTGGCTGGTGGGTTTGCAGTTAAGAGGGGGATACACACAGCAATGGCCAAAGTCTTTAATGCTACTCCAAGGAATCCCTGAGGCCTCTGGCAGTTGTGGTTGTACTAAGAGAGAGAGGTAAGGGACCTTCTTTACTTCTCAATTCATTCATGTTTCTTCTTCTGCTTCATCTTCTCTTATCTCTCCATTTAACTCCATTAATTCCCTTCTGCAAAAACTCACTGTTTAACTCTCTCTCCCCCCACACTAGCTTCTCCTACTTAAGGCAAAAGTTTGTCATCAGGAGCCCTAGCAAAGCTTTTGCCTTTTATACTATATGTGTAAACCCATGATGAGCATAACTCTTTTCCCCCTTTATATTCATATATTGTATTCTCTGGGACAGTGCAAGTGATTTCAGCAAACTCTGCATCACCCAGATAAACAGTTGCTCTGTTTTTAAGTATGTGACAGGAAACAAACAAATGGAAATTGGGGGGAACAGAAAACAGGTTTTGGAAATGGGGACCCATTTGTTCTGTTTGGACTTGTTTGCCTAACTTGAATACAAGATGGTGTTGGTGGCGGTGGCAATTCTCTCCAACCCCCATTATTGTAACCAAAAATGAAAGAAGAAAAAGAACAACCAACCTTTTTTAATATATATAAGAGTTTGCTGCTTTGGAATTGTTTGGATGGATGGATGGTATCAGAAATGGAATGGTTATGTTTGCTTGTAGAGTGGGGATGTCACAATTGAAATTAGTTATTCACCACCACCAAACATGGTGTTGCTGATACTATGTTATCATCCATATGTGCTTTTCTTCTTGTAAAATACTTAAAAAGTTTTCAATAATAATCTCACATTCTCACATGAACTTTGCTTTTAATTTCCATAAAATGGATTATCTTAAAAGTAATATGAAAAAAAAGAGTTGAATTGAAACGACCAAATTCAATTTGGAAACACTTTTTAACTGATTCTAGTATCTAATAACTTAAATCGAATGTATATTACTTTTCATTCATCATCGGATTATAATTCAGGACCACATTTTATTAGAACTTACATCCTTTTCAAGTTGACCAAACACTCCCCAAATGAAAGAGAGCAATTTTTTTAAGGGCAATGTCTATTTTTTACCCAAACCTTTTTCAGATTCTTTTATTTTAACCAAACCTATTGAATTCCTAAAAATTATCCAAACGTTAACTCTCCGTCAACTTTTCTGTTAGTAATGCTGACTAAGTATGACCATAATGAGTTGACTTCCTACGTGACGGTCAAAATACCATTATTTACTATTTTTAATAAAAAGATTATCAAAAAACAAAACAAAATCCCACCTCTCACGTGGACGAAATAAGTAACGGTAACAGAAGAAATGCCCAGACTTTGATAAATTATAATACGTTTGGATAATAAATAGAATTTCTATAGGTTTGGTTGAAATAAAAGAATCTGAAAAAGGTTTGGGTAAAAAATAGACATTGCCCTTTTTTTAACATTGAATGTGATTGAAGAATAAGAAGGGTATGGTATCACTTTCCTCGTGTGTGGAGAGAAGGTGATCATCCCACCTAAAAGAAAAAAAAGGGAAGAAAGACAAAAAGATTATTTTTATTGGATGGTGCCATCACTTTCTTGAATCATAATTTGTTTGCCAAAGGTAATGAATGGCTTATAAAGAGCTTGAGAGAGAAAAACTGAAAAAGAGAGCGACTAATGAATAGGAGTCGTTTTCTGTTTTAGCTTTGGGTTGGTTATGTTTGCTTTCAGGGTTCCTAAGTAGGCAGCAGCTGTGATTTTGGGTCTTTCCCAGACAAACTTCCCTTTTTGTTGTCCTCTAATATATCTACTAACGAAGTTGTAGTCTATCTTTTTCTACTTTCTGGCAAATTTTTTTTTCTTACCGAACTGTTGAAGTTAAAAGAAACACAGTAAAGGAGGGAGAAACGTAGTGGTTACAAAATCCATTAATGTTGACGTAACTACCATGGAACTTGTTCTCTTTCTCTTGGAGTAACATTTTTTTTTGCTTGCAATGGAGGTGGAATATTGTTTCGAGCTAGATCGTGAGACCCGGTTGATGATTGTAATTAGGGCATTGCTTCGGCCTCTCTCGTTCGATCTCTTCGTGAGGCGAGGAACTTGTGGTACGTTATTGGGTACATTAGTAGAAGTTCTTGAACTTATAATTCTTGTTCACCTTCTAAGCATCTTGCATATTTCATCTTACAATGGGGTCCCGAGCTCAACTTAACTAGCACAACCTTCCGGCAACCTAAACCTGATAAACATGGACCTCAATCACTGTGGGAGGTGGATAACGTGATAAGCATGGACCTCCTTCACTATGGGAGGTGAGGTAACCGCGCGCTAGCTAGGCGACCGTGCGGTACCTAATATGTTAACTTGAACATGGACTCCTTGTCTGAAGGAGTGGGTAGTATACATGGACTTCCTCACTCTGAGAAGTGAGGTGGATGCATGCTTAGCTAGTGAGTGAGGTTTGATCTTTTTCTTACTTATTAACTTGATAACTTAACATACTTGCTTGAATCAATCTCTCACACGATGGAGAGATGCACTTAAGCTTATACTTGTTTACTTAACTTGAGAAGTTTGAGCTTACTTAAGGTGATCTCTCCCACAAGGGGAAGATATGAACTTATTAACTTGCACTTGATTAGCTTAGAATTGAACTTGTATTTGCTTGGCTTAAAATGTAGTTTATTAATGCTTCATGATGTTATGCATACTTAAAGTAAATGTTGAACGCAAAGAGCTTAACTTAACAAAGAAGCGTATAACGAATAATTGAAACATAAGGCGTGAACTGAAATGCAAAACATAAACGTGAATGCATAGACTGATAACGAAAACTACTCCCATCATGCTTATTATGATGTTGATCCCTTCAATTCTCTATAACCAAAACAACCGCCTAGCACTCAACTCCTTTATTGAAATACCCGACTTGTTGAATTGTTCTTCTCACAGCTAGCTCCCATTTAACTATAAACGCCACCCAGGTATGGAACAAGCTAAGTCCACTTAATTGCTTCCCATTACCTTTTACATGCATAGGCATTTCGCTGTCCCTTGAAGTCTATCACAGATTATGTAACAACATATTAACTTGAGAATTGGGGAGTCGAGACTCACGACATTCGTCCATCGAAGACATACAGGCTGATGCCTCCCGCTCTCCGTCTCCGTCGATCTAGTGCAGCATATATACGTTGATGGAGCAACCAAGAAGCTTAGAGTTTACCGCCAGCACCCCAATCCCATTGCTAGCTTAGCTATTGTTGTCGTTTATACAAATCTCAAACCACCACCTGCCCTCCAAAAGACAGAACTAAGCTCCCTCCACATTCCGCTCCCTCCGTAGTTACTGAAAATCTGAGCAGTGGGGTTTGATTTTCTCATTTGGGGAAAAGATCTAGGGTTTCCGCGGCTTTTGCTCCATGATTAGTTTAGGGTTTTTCTTTTCCCCCTCGTTTTAGGTTAAATAGGACTATTTATATTAATAATGGAAGGGTGGTTTCGGAATTTCATATATGTAGGGATGGAATGTTACACTAACTAAATGGAATGGTTGGGTGACACACTAAAACACAACAGCAAACTGCGACCAAGTATAATCGCAGTCCGGGAATGCAGTAAAGTAGCAAGTTCTAATGTTATCCCGGGGTCTAGATCTACTGCCTACTCCGTGATTATCTATTATCTAGCAAACTAAGTCGAGTGATTGTTGTTTAAAGTAAAAGCAGTAAGAAAGCAGGAAATGGTTCGGTTTTCCAAAGCAAAGGGAGAGTCACTCGGGAATGAGTCCCCCTAGCTCCTTAGTTAGGTCTCAATTGTAATTAACCTGGGTTGATTTACTGTTGATTAAACTGCGGAAGATCCGACAGTAGCTTGGAATCTCTTAAGCTGACCAAGCCCTCTCAGTCAAACTACCCGGCAGACGACTAGTCTTCACCGGAATAGAAAGCTGAGGCTATGAACACAGAACTCCACTACTGGAATTGGATTCCAGTACAAAGCAGTAGATTGACTAACTCTCGTATAACCAATCCACTACTACCGAATGATGTAGCTCTAACAACCTAATCAGATTCTATCTATCTCAGGTTGCAGCAGAAATCAAGAAAAGCTGATCAAACTTCAATCAATTCAATGAATCATGCATCATTCGATTATAATCAAGCAGTATAACAATCCCAAGTCATTACAATCAAAATCACTAACACATGGAACTAGGGTTCTTCATACCCAAGTGAGAGAAAGTTCTACTCCATAGAGAGAGGGGAAAACAGGATACAAAGCAGTCATACTCATAACAATGGGAAGAATCTGCTCTGGGATGATGATTATCACTCCTTTGATGATCTCCAAGCTTGATTTGATGAAACCCAGCTCCACAACCACTCTTAGGATGAGTTCTTCGCACTTTCTCTCTCTAGGGCTCTGTTTTTGCTCCAAAAAGTCGATTCCCTCACTTTTGGCTCGGAATTGGGTAAAAACCCAGATTTCCCGATCACACGGGCATGCCACACGGCCGTGTGGCTTACCCAGATGCCCGTGTGAGCTCCAAAACGCTGCATCCCGAATAATTGCACTTCAGGCTTCCCACACGGCCAGGGAAACACGACCGTGTGGAATTTCCACCATGCCCGTGTGTGCTCGGTAAATACCACACGGCCACATTGGTGACATGCACGGCCGTGTGTATTCTCCAGCTTGCCCGTGTGAAGCCTCGCTAAATCCCACACGGCCACAAAGGTGACTTGCATGGCCGTGTGGGTTCCAGGAATGCCCGTGTGGCTTCTTCAGCGACTCGCCACGCGTCTGATCTTCGTCCAATCGACCCAAACTCGCTCCCAAGCCTCCATTCA